GATGTCACTTCACGGTGAAGTGACAACTTGTCACTCACGGTGAAGTGATTCCCATTTGATTTACATGGCAATCACTTCACCGTGAGTGACAACTGGTCACTTCACTTCGTTTTCACCGTGAAGTGACACCCGTAATAAGGGCCATTATCAGCATCGATACTGTACCGGAGCGGGGCTTATTGTAAGCAAAATCTTCGGAAGCATGCGATCTTGAAATGGGCTAATGGATATACGGTAAAGCTATCACCTTCGAACTCCAGAGTTCAAACTTTTTGCAGTCATAAAAAAATGGTTACAGGTAGATTTTATACATAATACCACTGCCAGACCACTGCCAGACAGGAGTGTGATTGTAGATACATACAGTACATACAATAAATGAACGAATGAAAAATTGCATCAGTCAAATGTGTCAAAATTAGTCTGTTTTTTTTTTATAAAATCTTTATTCTGTCTTCCTAACATATAAACATGTCTTACAAGCTAAGCTATTCTAAACTAATTACAGGCATTTATTTCTAAGAAGAATTTGAAGCTAGGCAAGGAGATCATATGTCGTTCTGTTTCCAAAATATATTGACTAAACTGAACAAATTTTCTTAGAATCATAATTTTGTCATCCCTGCTAAACTCTTCTAAGGTTGGAGCTATCAAACTGGAAAAGGTTAAGAAGCGCATTAAACGAGGATCAAATCTGTTTAGTAAAGGTCTAATAAAATAGTTCCATGACTGATTGACCGAAAAACGTTTACAAAATATATGCTCAAGATCTTCGAGGAATCCGCATGATAAGCAATTAGGGTTGTCAGCAATACCTATGCGATACAAATGAGCTCTGTGATCAATTTTCCTATTATAAAGTAAATAAAGAATAGATTTTTCATTTGAGTTCAGGTTCTTTAAGTTAATATTATTCCAGACACGTGGCCAATTGTTTTGTTCTTTAGTTTCAATAGTTGGTCTAGGCAATTTTATCAGAATATAGTTTTGTCATAGAAAAAGGTTGTGTTAGATCATGTTCGTAAAACAAATTCATGAAAGAAGGATACATATGTGGTAATATAGTAACAGGTTTCCTAATGACTACTGACTACTGATATTAGGCAGAATATAATTTTTCAACAAACACGTGTCGGTCGAATTAGGATTTATCCCAGGCTACTATTGTAGAAAAACGTAATTGATAGATATTGGGCGGAACGCGTCGGAATGTTTAGAAAAATAGGGCGCACGCTTGATCCGGTTTAAGATACATTTTTGACTGCTTTCGGGAACGTGATTTCATTTTAATAACTTGTTTACTTGTTTAACCATTGAACGTCGCGTGAAAGTGGAACTTAATGAAGGTATCAGTGCTTTTTCGTAACTTTTAGTTTTCGGATTAGAAAAATCATCGGTTGCAGGACAGTGTTACCGATTTATATTGGATAATCCAAAGCTATGTTGATCATTATAACATTAAATTTTGAAAAACAAATGATAAGACAATACCTCTGACCAAGGAAAAATGATTTATATAGTTTTCATAAAAGTTGACGATACAAATACTAATGAGGAAAGGAATTCCGCATTTCCTTTTCCCAAGTCCTTTTCCTCTCCTTCCCTTCCCTTCTTCTCTTTTCAGAAAGCGAGTAATGGCGCTATAACCATATGCCATATAGGGCTAGGACAAGAGTTGGCGGTGCCGTCCACGCTTGTACGGAGGGAGGACTGTACGCTCGAACACAAGGGGTAAATACCTGTGTTCCATCCCAGGAGATCGGACAACCAAGGAGTGTACATTAACTTTCTTAGCTCTGTCACTCCCAACGATTTATATAGCCTATTTTCAAATCCTGCATACGGAGCGGTTGGTACGGTATGTCCCCGCTCTTTGATTACCTTTGGATTAAATGTTAACCACTGTCTATACTTATTAAGTAGACATGGTAAACATTCACTTCCACAAAAATTAACTAAACGCTACACAGTAGGCCTGGCCGCTTTATTGTTTGTTTCACATCCTTGATGTGCAGCAGGCATTAATAATGACAAGAAAAATGATAGATGTATCATTTTCCAGGATTCTTTCAAGTACTGGCTGTGTATGTGTAGACTAGACTAGACTAGATAAGGAAGGACAATTTGCACAAGTTGACACAATACACAAGACAAGTTGGGGTTGATACACAAGACAAAATGACAAAATAAGTGACGATAGAAGTCAAGACTGGGACAAAAATCAATCTTTAAAAAAAAACAAGAATGCGCAATTATATTATCAAAACTATTTGGATCAACACAAAAACAACAGTGACCAAACGGGCACCATAGCCTACACAGAAACAAAATCCATTGGCAAAAATACTATATTGATGGTTTAAATTAAATCTAACCCCCTTAACTCTTTGGAGTTTATAGAGACAGATAACAGCGCCAATAGGTTTGTGACGATACAACGTTGAACTGCAGCGTTGGAAGAAAACACGCACACCATCATACATGTACGAACCCAAACCACTGAGCGGAGGAGGGGATACAGCGCAAATCAAAACACGAAGCGGTGTCATCAATCAGCTTTCGGCAGCTTCAGTTTGCGATTTCATTCGCCGTCATTGAAAAATACCTTCGTTATAAAATAGAAAAGTAATCAATATTCCAACCTAAATTTTGAACAGCTAATAGCATGCTGCGTTGGTCAAGGAAGATAACATATTTTATTACGATTGTTTAGCAATGATTTCGATACGTTGCGTTTTTCCATGTATACTTCTATGCTTATAAAGATTATGTTGAGCAACAGCATCATAAATCACAAAATCTCATTACTTTTTCGAAGGGAAGTATCTGCATTTGCATCTTACTGATACCGGTGGTGATATTGGAAACTCGTTCACTCGAAAGCAAAACATATTACAAGCCCATCATGATGTGAGCTTAGATTTGATTGTTTTCTCAAGCGTTTCTGATGCGTATAACGTGGTAATGATTGGAAATCGATGCAACCATAACGAAGTGAGAATTTTGCTATAGCAATATTTATAATGATGATGACATCGATCCTCCTCTTCCCTCGGCTGATCATCAACGTCCGCGCTGGCATATGTCATACTGACAGCTGTCATTTATTGAGCCCTGGTGGTAAAGTTGGTGGGGGACTCCCAACAGTTTCAATGTGCACTCACCAGATGGCACTGCGATCACATAAGGGTGGTGTATCCATAGCCTTGTTCGAGGAATTGATTAGTGGGATATCTTGTTAATTAAATATCTTTGATTAAATACTCCCACCAATAGATTTGTGCAGAAACGAAATTCATTTAATTTTACTAATTTTTCTATCAAAACTACTATACCGTTTGAGTAACCATAGTAGTTTTGACAGAATTATAGTAAATTTGAATATATTTGTAGTAAACTATACTGAAATCATGGTAGATTTAACGGTATTAAGCGTAGTTATACCAACAATCAATACGAAACTAACGATTTTAAATTGGCTCACCACTTTAGTAGCCTATTGGTCCCAAGCAAAACGATTAACGTACCCTATTTTAGTTGAAATTCTATTACTACACTATGTTTGTTTTGATTCGCTATGAAAGTTTGACAGATAACATCAGGGGTGTGTGGATTCATGCAGAACATGCAGGGGTGAGTGAAATAGCTTGGGACTGCTTGGGACCGTTGTTCTGGTACTGAGTGAGCCAAAAATAATAATGATTTTCTTCGGGACCCAGTTGTCTTAGAGTTACCTCTATGGTTATACTGAAAATAAGTGTTTTCTGCAAAATAGTATTCCTAACTATTCTCTTTGTTTCAGTGTAGGAACGTCTGTGTGTTGATTTAAAATAGAGGTTCATAGAATCAAAATTTATCAATAAAAGAGGTCCAGTGTAGAGTTTAAGCAAGTGTATGCTGCCACTGTGATCACTACAAAGAAGAAAAAAAGAATCAAATTAATCGAAATTAGTTATGAGCACACCACCAAATTATTTACCCTGCACCGGAACCTGGAATCGAACTCGAGACTACCGTATTGGCAAACCTTGACACTACCAGCTTTGCTACGTCAACACTTTGAACTGAACTTTGAACAAATATACATGGCTTTCTACAATAATACCGCTGAGTAGAGGCTCTATAATAGTGCACATGAATCACTTTTCTCGGCTAGTTAATTCAGCTTTGTAAAGGAGCAGAGTGGAAGCTGTAAAATTTCACACGTCTAAAAATAAAACTAGTTGAATGTAAAAATACTTCCAAAGTAGTGCTAACACAGTTTATTAACTAAGTAAGGTTGTTTAGTTGTTAAAAAAGCAATTTTGATGTTCATGTTACTCAGCAAAAGAGTGGTTGGTTGTGTAGAAGCCATCAACTAAATAAAACATTCGCTTTATTAGTTTTGTTTTGCAGCTAAAAGTTGAAAGTTGATTAATATTTGCATAGAAGTGATTTTAGCGTTTATTGACTGATATTATTCGGTGCGACTGACAAATTGAATAATGGTTGTGAAAAAGTTGAGTAAACGCTCTCCAAAACTATTTGGCTAGCATCTGCTTGTAGCTATATCTGCAGCTTTTTTCAGCTACTTTACAGCACAATGCTGGAAAAGTTCGCTTATAAAGCAAAATATGTTAGTTGGACAGTTGGTCATCTCGAAAAAATAAATAAAATAGTTTGATGAACGAGGTTCTTATCTAGCGTCCAAAACGTCAAACACAACAGGAAAATGTTTTGCTTCGGAGCTATCAACGAAAGAAAAAGTCAATGAAGAGAATCAATCAATGCAGAATAGGACCTTTTGAAATGTTTATCTAGAAATGTGAACGCCAATAACCCTTATATTCAAACCTGTACACGCCAGTGTATTCTCCAGTCAAATGAACTAACGTTCATTCGTGGGTACTGTCAAACATTTGACAACTTCATTCATCTTCACTTTAATTCATGAAGTTCGGCTAATATTTACATTTTAATGAACTTGAAAACTAGCTGCCTACGATGACCACGCACGACGACGTTGCTGTGTTTATGACTTGACTACTGCTTCGGTCGTCGTCGCGTAAGTAACAACCTCTTTCTTTCTTCGGCCATTGCTACAATTCACAGGTTGTGCTAAGTAGGTAGCGGTTTTGTTTATCCAGTGTGTGCTTCACGGTTGATGTTTTTTGCTCGTGAGGTCAAAAGTCCAACAAGTCGATTACATAAGCGAAACGATGGCTCCGAAGGAACCGTCCCCGTTGGTAAAGTTGTACCTCATCCTGTATAATGGGGGTCAAGTTCTGGGGTAAGTAGTAACTTTCTTTGGTTGAATTTTTCGTTCGAGATAACTGTTCATGGCTGCTCTTCGATAGATGGTCGTATATGTTTTATCAGCTGCTGGCCTACTACACGTTCGATAAGGGTAATGGCCAGACGCTATGGGACTACCTCGGAACCACCGTAATCATATTTCAAAATGCTGCTGCATTCGAGGTAAAATCGGAACAACTTTCACTTTTATATCTCAATCGAATTTTCACCGAATTTTTTTTTATTATCTCATTTTCTCCAACACGCACACATACACGTACATGTGTAGATAATACATGCTGTGACGCGAATAGTTCCAAGCAATCCGGTCATCACGACCTTCCAGGTGCTCTCGCGAGTTATGGTCGTATGTGGCGTCGTATTGGCTACTCCAACCGGTAAGACCTCCCCGGGACTGCCCCTTGCCCTGCTCGCCTGGTCCATAACGGAAATCATCCGGTACGGCTACTACGCTCTCAACCTGGTCAATGCTGTTCCACAGTTTATCATCTTCCTCCGGTACACGACCTTCATCGCTCTCTATCCGATCGGAGTGACAGGTGAGCTGCTATGCTTCTACTGGGCCCAGAGCTACGTGCGCGAATCTAAACAGTGGAGTATCGAGATGCCCAATTCGTCCAACTTCACCTTCTCCTATTTCTACTTCCTGTGGTTCGTCATGCTGCTGTACATTCCCCTGTTCCCACAGATGTACCTGCACATGTTCGCCCAGCGGAGGAAGATCCTTGGCGGAGGAAGCCAATCCAGCAAACAGAAGGTCAAATGAAAAGAAAAGAAAATATGCACCTGACAATTTTTCTTCTAATCGCCTTCAACATTTCATTTGGTTTAAGGGTTCTCTTAGGTTGTAGTAAGAAATACTCCCAAATTGGTTGGAAATGTTTTCAATTGGTTTCAAACCAGATAGATGGCTATCAATTGCTCAAATGACATTCTCACATCAGTTCGAATGCATGACTGGTGAAGGACCGTTATAATTAATAAATGATAATTATTAAACTTAATCTTCTGAAATTCTTTTACTGATCAACACGCTTACAACGTTAAATGATTCTTAGGGTGGAGGCATGTAAGAAATTGCGCTTTATATATAGCATTCACAGCACTATTACATCTAACTTTACCGATTGACAGTGAAAAGGACCGTGAGGACGTGGCCGGTGTCGGTACTGATCTAGGAATGTCATGAATCACTGAACTTGTACATTGAAGATGGTAATATAATCCCAAGCTCCATCTGTGTGGTTTCTGTGCAATTTTCACTGTAACGGAGTAGCAACTACGATTCGCACGGTCATTAAAAGAACAGCATATTACATTTAAAGCTACAGGCCATTACATTTATTTCATCTTCCTGACTTTCCAGCAATCCGAAGCTGATGGTAACCGAAGTTCCTCCTTGGAGGAACCAGGAACTTTGCCGTCCGTAAAACCGGTTGAGCCATGCGCTGTTCAGGCTTGACAGTCCTAGCCTAAAGCTTCCTTATATACACTAAAATATAAATTATTAAATAGACTTATGCATTTTTTGCCACCGATGTTATTAACATAATCTGTTTTATGCAAGTATTTGTTTAAAAATATAGGTACTTCTGTGTTGTTCTTAGTTTGTTCAGTTTGGTTTTCTTTAATTGGTAGACAATGCCATACATTTGACGGTATATATACCACCTTCAAAATCGAAATTAACATTGCTAGAGGAAACATTTCGCTTCCTTTTGGTGACATTAATTTTCATAAGTAGGATTTTATCAAATATATCATATTAACAATATGATCCATTCATGCCTTTTCCAAATATTGCAATGGCGACTCGATAATATTGCTTCACGCACCATCTAGCGTTGAAAAAGGTCAGCAACAATCATTCAATTACAATCGAGGGGTGCGAATATAGCACTTATTACAGAAGTAAGAGTCACATTATTTTCATTATTACATTGTGTATATTACTTTAAAATTTGTCTGACATGTCTCTGTTGTCATCAAATAAAATAATATGCTGAAATACATTCATTTGAAAAATTAAACATATTTTCATTTGGGTTACCCCTCGTGACGATAAACAAATACATTGGTAGCCTTTTTGGCCACAGAGGTGCTTTCATCGCTAAAAATTTGGTTCGCCAGCTAAGCGAAAGAGTGGATCATATTGTTAATATAATATATTTGATTTTATTCGCGAGAAATCGACGACTAAAGCTATTGTTTACAAATGCAATTACGCAAAATTATTAAATTTGTTGCGCCCATCGGATACAAACAGTTTGATTTTATTTGGGTCGTCTTATGAATGCTCCTGTGAAGACAGCTACCTAAATTTCCAAAGGCATCAAATATACTCTATTCGCTCTCGAAATGGAGAAATATTGTTAAGCCACTGGTGATAAAAACAAAAGCTTGAAACAAATTCCATCGAATTAAAAAAAAAAGTGTATTGACTCTAGCATTGCTAGCATGTTATATTTACAGGAAAAAACCTCGGAAAAAACATAATCCGAAAATTTAAAAATATTTTAGAATGTGAATGTATATAGCACAGACAAACAGACATAACATTGGCAATTTGTTCATCGAATACGCATTTAACGGTCAATTTAAATGTTGTTAGTTGGTAGTACCGCCACCTGTGGCGCGCATAGTCAATAATCCTTGCGTTTGACGTTTCTACACTACCGCCATCTGTTCAGTGTACTACATATCACAGTATACTCAACAGATGCAGGGCTGTTACAAGATTTTCTAAATTTGATCCGCGAAATTCGCGATTTCTCAAATGAAATTCGCGACTTCAAATACTAATCCGCGACCAAAAAAAAAACTGTTTTCATTGCCTAAAAATAGCATTTTATACTAATACATGGCATTTTAAGCTTATTGCTTATAGCATATTAGATTTTTACATGCTCTCAACTTAATGTTCTTTGAAGTACTTTCACATTTTAATTGAGAGCTTTCTATGCCTGTACCATCCTATGCCCAAGGAAGTAGAGAAATATTCCAAACCGAAAAATTAATAGACCGGACGGGAATCGAACTCAGTCGCCCCCAGCATGGACTTGCTTTGTAGCTGCGCATCTACCGACTGAATCGTTTGTAACCTTTGAATTTTTTTAATAACATTGTATCATCTTCAGTTATAGTATAAATTCTGAGTAATTAGTGAACACGGAGGCGAACCAGCCTCAGGCTGAAAGCCTCCATAATAAAGAAAACTTAACTTAACTTAATTAGTGAACATAATAAAACACCCTTACATTATGAGATTCTATTGAATAAAACCGGCCTAGATTTGATGAAACATTATTTAAAAAATAATAATGCATTTTCATTTGAAATGCAAATTTTCTTGAAAATTAACCTTTGCGTCTCTGACGTATTTTGCTGTCCTAAATGTTGTAGTTAATTTGTCTCTAGTTTTCTCCATTTTTACCGATTCAAACCAAACACCCTGCACATAATCGAATGATTACCAGAGTTTCATAAGTCACGCTTGTTGGTCACGTCGCGATTGTGTATTTACACGGATATTCTTGGTGAGACATTTTCATGATATTTTTTTATTTCTAATATGAACCTACCACTTTTCGTTATCAAATCATAACCGAATCGAATATATGTGACTTTGTGGATCATGCACGACTTATTACTATGTATACCGGAAATTATAGGGGTTTCCAAATCCTCCAGAACATCAGTTGATTTGTTCTACTAGATCAACCAAGACTGCAATAATGTCTGTAGTATCGATATCCAATCAGATTCAAAGTGCGTATGTGGATCATGCATGATCTATTTCCGAGTAATCCAGATGTTCAAGGTTCTTCAAATCGTCCTGGAATTCAGATAATTTGATCTACTAGATCAACCGATATTGAGACAATGTCTTTAGTATCGAAATATTTCCATACAGATGCACTGTGTCTATGTGGATCATGCATGAAATATTGTCATGTATACCAGATGTTTTAAGTTCTCCAAATCGTTCTGGGCCTCATAGCCTAGTCAGTAAAGGCACGGTATTACCAAGCCGGAGGCGGCGGGTTCGATTCCCGGTCCGGTCGAGGGAATCTTTTCTCGACTTCCCTGGGCATAGAGTATCATTGTGCTTGCCACCAGGCATTCATTTCGTACATTCATTGGCATTCATTTGTCTCTTAACTTTTTTCATCAACAGAATTCCGTAAAATTATGCATGAAGCTTTTGTAGGTTGTATAATTAACTACAACTTTTGTTAATAACTTAAATCTGTATCTCTTATGCATGATGAACTAGAGCGCTCAAAACATGTTATTGTTTTTCGGTGAATGTAATTTACATTCACTCAAAAACAATGATGGGTACAGTTTGCTCTGGTTCATCATGCATAAGAGATACAGATTTGAATCGTTGAAAAAAGTTGTAGCTAATTATAAAACCTATAAAAGCTTCATACATTACTTTACGGAATTCTGTTGATGGTAAAAGTTAGAGACAAATGAATGTAAATGAATGCATGAAATGAACGTAAATGATTTTCCATCCCTGCTTGCCACACAATATACGAATTCATGCATTGGTATTGGCATCGAAAGCTCTGAATTAATAACGGTGGAAGTGCATTTAGAACACTAAGTTTGAGAGCACGCAATAAGCTAATATGCACTAATCAATCAGCTTGAAATGTGAAGAAGAAGAAGAAGAAGAAGAAGAAGAAGAAGAAGAAGAAGAAGAAGAAGAAATCGTTCTGGAGTTCAGATGATTTATTCTACTAGATCAACCATGACTGGGATAAAGTCTGTAGTATCAAAATATGTCCAAACAGATTCATAGTGTCTATATGGATAATGTTTAATTATTTCCACGTATACCAGATGATCTAGGTTCTCCAAATCGTCCTGCAGTTCAGATGATTTGTTTTACTAGATCAACAAAGCCTGGATAATATCTGTAGTATCGAAATATCGATTTGGAAATCTTAGAACATTTAGCATACAATACACGGAAATAGGTTGCCATGATCCACATAGACACTGCAAATTTGTTTGAGCATATTTCGATACTAAAGGGCGAACACGAAATTATTGCGACACCGAAAATGTCATGCCAATTTTCTTATAATGTTTAGAATCAAACCAAAATTTTAGGGTAGTTTTATACATATATTTACTTCAAAAATCAAATGAAAAGTTAATCGATGGAGCCTTGAGTGTAAAATTGAACGCATTTTCGCTTGATGCCCTCCATCAAAGTCTTTACAATGTCATCCGGTACCAGTTTCTCAGTTTTTTTTCCATTTTCTTAACATGTCCTTCTCGTCTTTGACTGTCTTCTTGCTCTTCCGAAGTTCCCGCTTCATTATTGCCCAGTACTGCTCCACCGGGCGCAGCTCCGGACAGTTTGGCGGATTCATGTCCTTTGGAACAAAATGGACAGAATTGGCCTCATACCACTCCAGGACACTTTTAGAATAGTGGCATGATGCCAAATCTGGCCAAAATAGCCGAGCTTCGTCGTGCTGCTGCAAGAACGGCAAAAGGCGCTTCTCGAGGCACTAATATTTGTAGATCCCGCCATTTACTGTGCCCTTTGTCACGAAAGGCTCACTCCTCAGTCCGCAAGAGCAGATGGCCTGCCAAATGAGATATTTGGAGGCGAACTTCGACATTTTCTTCTTCTTAAATTTGTCGTCCACATCGAACTTGCTCTTGCCGGTGAAAAACTCCAACCCCGGAATTTGCTTAAAATCGGCTTTTATATACGTTTCGTCGTCCATCACACAGCAGCCATATTTTGTCAGCATCTTCTCGTAGAGCTTCCGTGCTCGAGTTTTAGCCGTCGATTGTTGCCGCTCATCGCGGTTTGGGAAGTTCTGTACCTTGTATGTATGTAGTCCAGCTCTCTTCTTTGCATTCTGGACGTAGCTCTGCGACATGCCGATCTTTTTAGCCAAATCACGGCTTGAGACGTTGGGATTTGCTTTAATCATCCGCTTCACTTTTCCCTCCGTCTTTTTGTTCTCCGGTCCCGGTTTTCTTCCAGCTCCTTTGCCGTGGTCCAACGTCAACCGCTCCTGGAACCGCTTCAACACTCTGGAGACGGTTGAATGGTGAATGTTCAACATTTTTCCCAACTGCCGGTGCGACAGGTCAGGAAATTCCAGGTGTTTGGAAAGAATTTGTTCTCTCAACTCGCGTTGCCCAACAAACAATTTCAACTGCAGACTACCTTATACAGGCAAAAATTAGCTGTATAGGCCTACTACCTAAAGCTACAACAAATTTAAACAGCACTTTTCAGTGCTCAACCTGTAAAAATTTTCTACCTTGTTCAACTCCTCTTATTCCTCTTCGATCCTTGTTTGGACCCTACCCGAGGTAATCCTTCTTGGATATCGATTTGGAAAATTCCTCTTCGATCCTTCAGATTCTTATAGTAATCTGCTTGGAAGTCGATTTGGATAAAAAAAAATTACTGCCGCCATGGCGCCTAAACGCAAAAGAAAGGGGCAAACTCTTGATCCCCCTTCTGAAGAAATTAATTTGAGTAATCAATTTGATTTGCTCACGGATGATGAGAATGATCCATCATCCAAGAAAAATTCTAGTAAACTTTCCCGGCTTAATGCCAAGAAGGAAAAGATTCCCCCTATTGTGATAACCACTACCGATTTCCATGCTCTTCGCATGGAACTTTTGAATTTCGTGAAAGTTAAGTTTTCACTACAAATTGGACGTCGGGGTGAATGCCGTGTATTGGCTGAAACCTTGGACGGATTTAAATGTCTTCTCAAGTATCTTACTGAGAAGAAGCACAAATTTTTTACTTACGACACCAAAACTGAACGTGTGTTCAAGGTTGTCATGAAAGGACTGCCCAGTGGTGAATCCCTGGATCAGATCAAAGATGAACTGGCAAAATTACTTGGAGTTGTGCCACTCCAAGTAATCAAAATGAAAATGAAATCCCGTCCTGGCGATTCGCGCAACGGGATTTCTAATGATTTTTATTTAGTTCACTTCAAGTCTAGTGAACTAAACAACCTTAAGGCCTTAGAAAAAGCTAGCCTTATGCTCCATGTCCGAGTGAAGTGGGAACACTTCAGGAAGACTGGAGGTAATTTCCAAAACCTCACTCAGTGCCGTAAGTGCCAGGGATGGGGTCACGGAACTAAAAATTGCTACATGCCAGCTAAATGCATGAATTGTGGTGATTCCTCTCACGCAAAGGACGACTGTCCTGTGAAGGAAGATCCTAAGAAATTTAAATGTTCAAATTGTGGTGAAAACCACAAATCCAATTTTTGGGAATGTAAGACTCGCAAAGCGATCCTACAATCTCGTTCTAACCGACAGGTAGGAAACGCTCCACGTTTCCGACCAGGTACAAATTCCTCTGCTGTTAACAACGGTCAGCGAGAAACAAGGTACAAATATCACCCCTGCTTCAAATGTTTCATCCGTACCTACTCCCCTCGCTGCTAACAATGTTCAGCGAGTTAATGGAGCTACCTATGCTGCTATTGCAGCGGGTAGAAATCAAAATACTAACCAACGTTCTAACGGAAATTTTGACAATTTTGACTTAGGAAGCATTACTGCCCCTAAAATGGAATTTTTACAGAATTCATTAATTGACATGATTTCTGATATGCTTAAATCTAACTCCATGTTTGATGCTATTCAAACTGGAGTAAAATTTGCTAATAATATTGTCATGACTTTAAAATTCAGTAATGGATTTTAAAGCATTAAACATTTTAAATTGGAATGCTCGATCTCTTAAAGATAATGAAGACGAGCTATTTAATTTTTTGAGAGTTCATAACGTGCATATTGCCGTTATAACTGAAACGTTCCTTAAACCTGACCATAAGGTTAAGAAGGACGCAAATTACTTGATTTATAGAAATGATCGTCTTGATGGACCCTGTGGTGGCGTTGCCATCATTATTCATAGACGAATCAAGCATAAAATTCTTTCTTCATTTGAAACCAAAGTTTTTGAAACTTTGGGAGTTTCTGTTGAAACAAAATTTGGACAACTTACGTTTATAGCTGCCTATTTGCCATTCCAATGCGTAGGCCAGCAAAAGAATTTTCTCAAGGGTGACCTTCAGAAACTTACCCGCCATAGGTCTAAATTCTTCATTATTGGTGATTTTAATGCAAAACACCGCTCATGGAATAATGCTCAAAGCAATTCCAATGGTAATATTCTGTTTGATGATTGTTCTGCAGGTTATTACACTATTCAATATCCAAACAGTCCAACATGCTTTTCTTCTGCAAGAAATCCCTCAACTATTGATTTGGTCTTAACTGATTCATGTCAACTTTGTAGCCAATTGGTTACCCATACTGACTTCGGTTCTGATCACCTTCCAGTAACTTTTGAAATATCTCAAGAAATAATTTCTAATCCCAACAGCTCTACTTTCAATTACCATAGGGCTGATTGGGAGCAATATCGAACATTTATGGAATATAACTTCGATCCAAACATTCCTTTGCAAACCAAAGATGAAATTAATTATGCTCTTGAATCTCTGACTACTTCTATAGTTGAAGCAAGAGCTGCCTCAGTACCAAAATGCGAGGTTAAATTCGATTCAATTATAATAGACGATGATCTTCAGCTCTTGATCCGTCTTAAAAATGTCCGTAGGAGACAATTTCAAAGAACACGCGATCCTGCCATGAAAGTTATCTGGCGATCCTGCCATGAAAGCGATTCTCTGCCCTGAGGAACAAAACTTTTGAAAATAATGTTTCTAAATTAGACCCGAGTTCCAAACCCTTTTGGAAACTCACAAAAATTTTGAAAAAACCTCAAAAGCCAATTCCAGCGCTTAAAGAAGGTGGTAAAATTTTGATCACAAATTTGGAAAAAGCTCAGAAACTTGCTAAGCAATTCGAGAGTTCCCATAATTTCAGTTTGGGTCTTACTAGTCCTATTGAGAATCAGGTTGCTCGGGATTTTCGGAATATTTTCTCTCGGGAAAATATTTTTGATGATTCCTGGGGGACTGATTTGGACGAAGTAAGGTCTATAACTAAAAAATTTCAAAATATGAAAGCTCCAGGTGATGATGGAATTTTCTATATCCTCATCAAAAAACTCCCAGAGAGTACCTTGTCTTTCCTGGTAAAATTATTTAACAGATGTTTCCATTTGGCATACTTTCCTGATAAATGGAAAAATGCAAAAGTTGTTCCAATTTTGAAGCCGGATAAAAATCCAGCTGAAGCTTCTAGCTACCGTCCAATAAGTTTGCTTTCTTCAATAAGTAAACTTTTTGAAAAATAATTTTGAATAGAATGATGCTTCACATCAATACGAACTCAATTTTTGCAGATGAGCAGTTTGGATTTCGCCATGGGCATTCAACTACTCATCAACTCTTGAGAGTTACCAATTTAATTCGTTCAAACAAATCTGAAGGCCACTCAACTGGAGTTGCTCTTCTAGACATAGAAAAAGCATTCGACAGTGTTTGGCATGAAGGTTTGATTGCTAAATTGAAAAAGTTTAATTTTCCACTTTACATTATGGAATTAGTTCAAAATTATTTAACTGACAGAACTCTGCAGGTAAATTATCAAAATTCCAAATCTAATCGACTACCTGTTAGAGCAGGAGTTCCTCAGGGTAGCATTCTTGGGCCTATATTGTATAACATTTTCACTTCGGACCTCCCTGATTTGCCTCAGGGTTGCCACAAATCTTTGTTCGCTGATGATACAGGCATTTCCGCTAAAGGAAGAAGTCTTCGTGTTATTTGCAGCAGACTTCAGAAAAGTTTAGATATTTTCTCTTCTTATTTACAAAAATGGAAGATTTCTCCCAACGCTTCCAAAACTCAACTTATAATATTTCCACATAAGCCCAGGGCTTCCTTTTTGAAACCTAGTAGTAGTCACATAGTCACTATGAACGGAGTTCCAATTTGCTGGTCAAACCAAGTGAAATATCTTGGATTAATACTTGACCATAAATTAACTTTTAAAGATCACATTGAGGGCATTCAAGCCAAATGTAACAAATATATAAAATGTTTGTATCCTCTTATTAACAGGAAATCCAAACTTTGCCTGACGAATAAACTTCTAATATTTAAACAAGTTTTTAGACCGGCCATGCTTTACGCTGTGCCAATATGGTCTAGTTGTTACACTACCAGGAAAAAAGCACTTCAAAGGATTCAGAACAAAGTTCTGAAGATGATTTTGAAGTTGCCTCCCTGGTACACTACTACCGAAGTACATAGAATTTCGAATGTTGAGACTTTAGCACAAATGTCCAACAAAATAATTAATAATTTCCGGCAAAAATCGTTACAATCCTCAATTGCAACGATTAATTCCCTTTATACTTAGATAAGATTTAGTTTTAGTTATTTAGTTTTAAGCTATCAATTGTTATACTGACATGCAGGTTTAAAAAACCTGTTTAAAATACTGAATTGCCAAGACAGGAACAATGTAAAAACACTTAGATATATATCATAACAATTAAGGCTGGTAAGTTACTGTAGTAACTGGAGCACCTAGGTTAAAAATGAAATGTAATTTATTTTGAATTTGGAACAAATAAAGAGTTAAAAAAAAAAAAAAAAAGCTGTATAAGCCAATGTTTGGCTGTATAAGCTAATATGCAGCTAAAATTGTTAGTTGGGTGGTTCACCTCCATTTTCGTTGAATCGAAAAACACGAGAACATGAGAAAGTGTGCAAAATTTGGTTGATTTTTACCCAGGGGGGAGAGGTAGCTCATCGATTCTTCCGGTTCGCCTCTTAGCATCGTGCTATAAGGTACCAGGCGATAACCAGGGTAGTTGATCGATAGCTCGATGACGTCATTTCGTTGGCGTCTGCAATGGGAAATTCTCATAGCAGGCGTTGACGATGGGACGTTGTCGAGTTGTTGAATAGCAACTATCATGGTAACTCACCGATTACCTGTCGATCTGCCAAATTTGGAAAGACGTCTGCATTGAATTGTCTCATATAATAATATTCCGCCCACTGTATCACAAGAAATTGCGAGTAGCTGAGTGGAATGGAGATAAGTTAAGCATTGGGTACAGGACCAAGTCTCCCCTGGGTGGTGCCAGAAGATGAGCGCAATAGAATAATCAAGTTGCCATAAGGCACGGAATGAGACTATTGCATGGCTGGGTAGTCAAAGTCTTCCATTCGTTAGTCATTTCAGGTGGACTAGAACAGGTTTAGGTGGGCGTTGGCCAGATTTGGATTTTTCAGATGTAATCCTGGATAGGACCCTGTCATTGAACGTCGCGTGAAAGTGGAACTTAATGAAGGCCTAAGTACTTTTTCATAGTTTTTAGTTTTCGGATTTGAAAGATCGTCGGTTACAGTCCCTCCCCATGGACATGGAGGTTGACGGTACTGAAGCAAAGGGTTATGTTTAATTTCTTTATATTTGCAACGATGATGATTTCCTATAGTGACACATATCACCTTCTTAATGCTTCAGTATGCCTCAAACGATTAATTCTTGGTTGTTAATAGAACTTCCTTGATGAAATGGGCTGCTTCATGCAGACTGAGCAATTCTGATTATAGTATCAGATTTGTTCTGTATACGGAGGAACTGGGAGGGCTTATTAGAAACTTCTCACCAATAAAGTAATGATTTTCTAGTAAATTTTGCATTTAATTATATTAATACTTTATTTTTAGCATACAATACAAAAGTGCTCGTTTTTGCGTAAAATAATCAATATTTATTTTGTAATTACGTTTAAAAGTTTTTTTTTTGTGATCTGAAAATTTTCCTAGTTTGGTTAGAAGTTTCGAAGCTAACGCATGTCCGCAGGCCTAATAGAAAGATAGGCAGAAAAAGTGATTTTCGGAGTTTTATTCGTTAGGTGTTGTAGTGGAGATTTGTGTTGTTGGATGCAGGAGGAGATTGGAGGGCGGGAGTTTGACGCATAGAGCCTGCCAATTTCGCTTTCAGAATGTCGCAGTCAGCGGTTTTATGATTCGTGAGCGCTCGCGATTCGTAGAACCGTTGATTGTGACTGCAAGTGGATTTGGCAGGTTTTGTGAGTCGGACGTTTGCTTTTTGGCCTATTCTTGTGTCTTAACATGTGCAGAGTATCATTATAGGGTCTAATGGTTTTGAGATTCCTGGTTGCATGAAATATATTTGTGAGAATATCTTTTTGAGATTTTAGTAGTCACGTTTTGTTTGTAGTTTATATTTTATTTCTTTCATGTAATTATCGTAAATAATAGTTATTCAATAATAGATAGTTCATCCATATATTCGGACTTTGACGCGAAGCGCTGTGGATTATGAGATGCTTGATGACC